ATATATTCATTATTTTCAAGTCATGAACAATTAATTAAAATGAAAAACAATGATAAAGATAAGAAATTTGGTTGTGATAGTCAAAAAACATTTTTACGTAATTCACGTTTAAAACCACGAGAATTTCTTCCTTCACATTGGGATGGTAATGATGAATAATAGAATTTTTTGTTATTGTTATTCTAGATTCTTAAACGTCACCCATATCATCATGTCGGACACCGAGATGGACGAGACGCCACGCGCCTCGGATGAAGTCGACTTGAATAAGTCGTTACAGGAAGTACTTAAATCAGCTGCACGTAATGATGGTCTTGCACGTGGTTTACGAGGTAATATCATTATGATATTTTAATAAGAAAAATATTTTTTTCTTTCAATTTTTTAGAATCAGTCAAGGCCTTAGATCGACGTGAAGCTCACCTTTGTGTATTAGCATCAAATTGTGACGAAGCCAATTACGTTAAATTAATTGAAGCATTATGTGCTGAACATAATATCAATTTATTACGTGTTGATGATAATAAAAAATTAGGTGAATGGGCTGGTTTATGCAAATTGGACAAAGATGGCAAAGCACGAAAAGTAGTTCGTTGCAGTTGCTGTGTTGTTCGTGACTTCGGTGATGAAACACAAGCTCATGATCAATTAGTTGAATACATGAAGAAAAACAAACAATAAGCATTGAAATTGATCATACAGGAAAAAAAAGTCATATATGCTTTTTTGTTTTTGAGTTGGTTTATATAACCAACAAATATTTTACATCAATAAAATAAAAAGAAGAGAAAAATTGAAATCTATTTAATTATATTATTCTATATTTAAACAAATATTGAGATGAAATAAATTTTGAATTAAAATAATACGTGACGTGAGGTTTTTCTGTAATCATTGAAATCAAAACATATTTCGGATCATTATAATGAATCGCTTATGCAATGCTATATATTATATTTTAATATATCTCGTAAATCGTCTCCATTAATTGCTTTAGTCAATCATACCATAAATGAAAGTGTGTACTAGTTCCTTCTTTTTGAAAATGTATATTGATTTGACGATCAAATAATTCTATACAAAAGGTATAATTCAATACTGAAATTAATGAAATAACACGAAAAACGTTTAGCAAAATTTAGAAGAATTTTTGAACTTATTCTTCGTCTCTAATTTTGAGAAACTATTTATACATTAATCATATTAATGAAAGAAAAATTCAATGAAAAAAACTAGAGTGCAATAGATCCTAGTGAATATTTACGTAATACTTTAATTTACAAGTAACGCTCGTCTAAGACTCGCTTAGCTCTTTCCCGTAGAAATGGTATTCTACAATGCTACGGGACCTTTTCCTTACATAACTTGCAAACACTAACATCAGATTCGTGTTCCCCGACCTGAAAAACCGTTTCGTCAAATTTTATATCAAAAAAAAAAATTTTTCGTAAAAAAATGGGCCTTTGTCTAAAAAACGTTTTTTTAAAGAATCTTGAAAAACTAACATCAGATTCGAAGTCCTTGCATCGGAATACCTCTAGAAATGTCGTTTTTGAAAAATCGATTTTCGATGTTTTTTTGACCCTGCGGACAGACAGGCAATCAAACAAACAATTTATGTTTACTAGATTCTTCTCTACGAGAAAGAGAATAATACATCTTACAAAAGATGGATTAGAAAATTTGTTCGAATTCATTGAGAATTATCAATGTCTGAACCTTCTACATTTTACAGATCTACTCTTTGATAATTCTTTCAAGCACATAACTTTCATTTTGTGTTTTTTTTGTAATATAGATTTATTTTTTGGTTTTACTTTCTATATAAACGTATCTGAAGCTTAAGAAAAAAAACGAAAACTAAAATTTCAATCAACAAAAAAAGGCAAAAACAAGTGTAAAATAGATGAAAAAAATAACACTAATAACAATGAGTGCAGACAAAAACGACATTGACTGTTTTGTTCTATGGAGTAGGAATAATAATTGAACTTTGGTGTATTTCTTCTAATATACTGTCGGCACCCATTTGCATGAGTTTCACTGCAAGATTTGTACCACATAATTCCGCATTTTCTAATACTGTTTCATCTATATTCACACCACATACATGAGCATAATGACGAAGCAAAGGTACACCTTCTGCTGTTGTTGTTGTTGTCGTTGTTGATGATGATGATGGTGATGCTATTGTTCCTATTGTTAATGATGGAGTTGTTGATGAAGTTGCTGAAAGTGGTGGTGAAGGTGGTTGTATTGGCGCTGGTGGAGGAGTTAGCACGGAATCAATATCTGATTCAGTCCGTTTTCTTTTTAAATTCGATCGATTTAAAGATCCATTCGTTGATTGTGTTTCATCGTCAAGTGATAAAAGTTCATCATCTGAATGCGAAACTAAAAATGTTGTTGTCATTGGTACAGTTAAATCAGAATTCTCAACATGATCTTTTACAAAACGTGATCCATCAAGATTAAGTAAAATACCATCCATAATTAATCCTTTATCATTATACACCGTACGTACGGCATTCGGAATACTACAACCACCGCCAACTATAAATTAAAAATACAAATATAATTAGATTACACGTATAATAAAATTTTATATTACTTCGTCTTAGAAAGGCTCGTTCTGCAATACATCGTAGAACAGTTGGTTCATGATTCAGTACAGATAACATTCGAATAGTATCAATATCATTATGTCGACATTCAATTCCTAATGCACCTTGTCCAATTGCATAAAGAACCCGTTCAGGTTCAATTATTTCACTAATTCTCTCTGTCCATTTTAATCGTTGTAAACCAGCAACAGCTGCAATCATTGCATCATATCCAAGTTCTCGATTATTTAATTTTTCCCAACGTGTATTCATATTTCCACGTATATTTTTATATATAAATTGTGGATAATTTAATTTCAATTGTGCTATACGACGTGTTGAACTTGTACCAATAACACTACCATGTGGTAAATCATTTAAAGAATTTTTTTTATGCCATGGAGCAATAACAACAGCATCACGAGGATCAGCACGTTCAAGTATTGCACCAATGATCATATTTGGTGGTAAAACAGTTGATGGAACATCTTTTAATGAATGAACAACAAAATCAATATTATTTCGATCAAGTTCAACTTCAAGTTCTTTAGTAAATAAACCTTTATCACCAATATTTGCAAGTGGATCTAACAGATTTTTATCTCCGATAGTTTTAATTTTAATTACTTCATAATCAATATGCGGATAAAATTTATGCAATTGTTCGATAACACTAAAACGAAACAAAAATTAAATAAAAACAAAAATCAAATAATTCAATTTACCTTTCAGTTTGAACAAGGGCTAATTCACTTTGTCGAGTGCCAACCTTATATTTTGTTCTTAATGGCACATACTGCATAATAACTAATTTATCTTAATACAAACTTTCTAATTTTTAAGAGATTTTTATCTAAAAACAAAAATAGATAAGTTTGTAGACGATTCGAAGACGAATGAATTGATTTCAGATAAGCACTTTATATATAGAAGATAATAATACTCTCTCGAATATTATGTCTAAAGAAAAAACGAAAGTATTGAGTTCAAATATATATCTGTGTCATAGATAGAATGTATATTTTTATACATCCAGGCATTTATAGTTTTGTACTGCTGTAAAATACTTGTGTTTATCAAAATACTTTTCTAGTCATGAATTTAATAGAATATTCTACACTCGTCTTTTTTTCTTAATTATTGAATCACGTAGACAAATATAAAAAATATGTTTTGAAGCATCGAATAATGATAAAAAAAAGAAGAACGTGTAATAAGAAATTTTAGTTATCTAGTCGTTAATAAAATTTGTTATGTTGATGATATCTTTTATAGAATCAATTGGTATGCTCTTTTTTAACCATAGATAACATAAGATTAAGATAAAGAAAATGAATTATATAAAGAAAGAGTTTTTACCATTTGAAATACTAATATGTTGATAAACGAAATTTTCATCATACCAACACGTTGTGTTTTTTTTTAATATTATTAATCGACTACTCTATAAATGGTCCCAGCATGATATACAAATCGTACTTCTGTAATCAGGTCAATCTATGATCCATTCTTCACCAATGAATAACTTAGATCTAGCTCTATATAAAGCGGCCTCATCAGATACTAAACATGATGCCGCCACATATAGGAAAACAGTGTTTCAGATTACGTATATGATATAATCCACTAAGAATATTTTGTCTGTTCTATACATACGGACGCTAGAGGAAACGTATTCTTTTTCTTTTGAAATATACATACGTTATTTCGTATACTTCAAATTGTTTGAAGGGAGTCAACTCGATTGATTATAATCCAAAGAAATTAGAATATCTTATGTAGATAATATGTTTAAAGAAACTAGGAAGATAGACAACCCTGCAGTCAATGTTATATACATTGTTGAGAAGATTAAAGCTTTTGTACTGTAAAAGGATGCATTGCCGATATAAATCTCATCTGTTTGTAACTTAAGGTGATTTTACATTGACTCTATCTTATTTTTATTTCATTCTCTTGTTCTACAAGATTATACCTGAAAGCGTAATTGACACATCGTTTTAATACAAACATTATAAATAAACTAAAATAATCTTTTTTTTTTCATATTAATAACCATATTAAGAAAAAATAATTTAGAATTTAATTCTAATGTATTTTCGATATTCGAATCACCATATATAATTTTCAACTATTTTTGCTAGATTATTGAGTAAAATTTGATCTTATTTTGTCCTAATATTTATCAGGAAAACACATCATTCTTTTTTCAATCGTCAATATTGGGTCATATTCTCTAGATCATCTTATTCAATTGTATCCAATAACAAATCAATTATTTATTCGTCATGCTCATGATAAACTTGACTGGAGTCAGAGAATTGAGAACTAAGTTTTATATAGATTATAATATTTATAACAAAATGCAATCATCTGTAAATATAGTGTTCAAGTATTTGATTATATCGTTTTTTTTAGAAGTGATAAGTTCATTTTCCATCAATAAGAATTCTTAATGTAATAAAAATCTCAAGATAGAAAAACAACAACATACAAATAAGTTAACTTGTCATTGAATATATAGAATATGTATGCTTTTATAATAAATGTTAAGTTAGCTTTCAACTCGCATCCGGTTTCCTAGCATGAACATGTTCATACTCGCACGAGAGAGCAATTGAATCGTTTAAATAGACGAATCAGATTAACAGTAGTAGTAGTAGTAGAAAGTAGTGTATTCATCACACAGGAAGTCAATAGAGAGTGAGCCTCAAGCTGTAACATGCACGACATATACACACACATAGACATGTTTTCCTTGTATTTCCACTTCATTTGTGATAGTGCTGGTATATTATTGCACACACACGTTTGTCACGGAAACTAGCATAGGTTAACTTCCGTATAAAAAGTTGTTGCATTTGATTTAAAAAGCCGCTCACTAGAATAATTCATGCACGAAAAGTAAGCAGATGTTATTCTTCTTTTCCCACTTCATCATCATCATCATAGAGAAACAACGTTCGGTTTTCAATGTTTCTCTTTCTCAAAAGCGAGAATAAAGAAGAGAAAGAGAGAGAGAGAAAAAAAAACATATATAAATATATATATATATATAGACATATACAAGTAACGGATATTCGAATTACGCTCGATGTCATCACTTCCTCAATGTATGTCGATTAGTCTCTCCATTTTCTTCTAAGTGGAATACATTCTTTTGCTTATCATAAATCCCTATTGGGTGTTGAAAAAAACTTTTGCTTTTTCATTGGTCTATATAAGAGAAAATAAGCGAACTAGAGTGAGAGAAAGAGAAGAGCAGAATATTAGCTTGTTTTCCGGCAGACGATTATATTTTTTTTAATTCTCAGTTTTCATGTGTTAATCAACATCGATTAATATATTCAAATGAAGAATTTTTCTGTACAATATCTACTTTCACATATTGATAATAAAAAAGATGTTGTATCAACATCTGCAACACCAACAACAACGACAACAATATCGAATACATTAAATGTTAATTCATCCGATGATGTTGGTAAGATGAGAAAATATTGTAAAGACGCGAAAAAAAAATCTAGTTGTTCTTTTCTTTATATAGAAGATGATAATCATTCATCTGTTTCATCATCTTTTTATGATTCATCAAATGATGAAGATGATGAACAGGCAACATTAAATAGAAATCCTCTTGATAGTGGTACAACATCCGAAGATAGTCAAACATCAAAATATCTTCAACAAGAACATAATAATCATCATCATGAAACATCAAAACGACGTAAACGACGAGTTCTTTTTACTAAACAACAAACATTTGAACTTGAAAGACGTTTTCGACAACAACGTTATTTATCAGGTAAGAAAAATTATTTAAAAGATTATTTTTATTTTCATTTTCTAGCACCAGAACGAGAACATTTAGCTAGTGCAATTAATTTATCAGCTACACAAGTTAAAATCTGGTTTCAAAATCGTAAGTAGAACATCGATTTTTTCAATAAGAAAAAGAAAGTAGTACTACTAATTCATATTTATGTAAATATTTTAGATCGTTATAAAATGAAACGTTCACGACTTGACAAAAGTAAGATATAATTGCCTTCATGTACTTGAGAGTTAAGATTTTTTTTCTTTCTTTTGTTATTAAAGATTTAATTGATACAACAATATCTTCACCTCGACGTGTGGCAGTCCCAGTGCTTATTCGAAATGGTCGACCATGTCATCAACAGCGTTTTTCTCTCCCATCAACATCAGCAGCCGTTTCAAATCAACATATTCATGGTCACTCAACAACAAACAGTAACAGCTCATTAGTCGTAACATCATCATCATCATGCAAGAATGATACTCCTAATATACTATTTAATGACAGACAACATATGAAATGTGACAATATTGATTTATTCCAACAGTTTATTCTTTCACAATGGGCACTTTCAAAAAAAATATTTTTTCCAACAACAAGTTAATTAAAGATTTCAAATAAAAGAAAGATAACAGTTACTAAATAGTTGCCATAAAAAATTATCTTTAAGAGTTTGGATTTTTCCTTTTTTTTTTCGTTTGTGTTTTACTAGAAATTTTATATTATTATTATTATTATTATTAACCAAAAAAATCTATTATTTCATCATTTAATAAAAAAAAACAAGTGTCATCATTGGTATAACATTTATATTTGCTTTAAGTGATTCTTCATTAAAAATAAAAACAGTTCATTATATTCATAGAAATATTGTCTAAATTCTCAATGTGAACAAATCAATATAAGCAAGAGCTAATATTATAGATTAGTGTAACATACTTGATCCTAGGGCTAATTTCTTCACTTATCTTCAAGGGTCTTCTGTTCATATACATATACTTGAGTTCCTGAGATTTATCACTGACTTTCGATATGTTCGTTGTAATTACTAAAAGACTCATAATCACGATAGATTGCTTTTTGTTTCGTTATAATTGAGTTTCATGACTTAGAACAAGATGACTTAAAATAATAATATCATATACGTAAAAACATGATTTAAAAATTATCGAATTAGTAATATTTAATTCTTCTATTCTTATTTCCTATCACGCAAAGATAAAATTTAAATCTTTATATTGTATATATATATCGTTTCCGATTTATAAGCATAGTTCCGTATGCATAAGAATGAAATAGTTTTCTTTTTGTAAGAGATTATTCAAAAGAAAACATTGACTAAACGGAAACAGAGAAATATTTAACATAACATGCTATGTAATATAAAAGAGATGATAACAAAAGATGTGAAGATAGCATCATTATGTAACGGAAATATAAGATATCCGAGAAAATAAAGTAAAAACCGATATAATTTTAGTACTAAACAGTTCGTTCATAAGTCACTGACTTTTATTTTTTTTTCATGTCAAGAGATAGTACTTAGTTTATAAACAGAATATTGAATTCCAAAAAGCACTAGAAATCTATCTGTTTTCTTCCATATATATAATACAATCAATTAACTAATCAGTTTATCTAAAGTTGAAACTATTACCATTTATTGTTTTTTCGATTTATAGTTAATATTTGTATCATACATTTATTATATAAGTATCATCCCACTGACATTTTTTCATATTATAAATAAAATATCTTTTATCCTTTGTAAATCTCAGATGTCACCGTAGAAAAATGCTAAGAGTTAAATATGCATACTTTTTTTAGCATAGTACAAAAATTGAATATTAGAATGTTGACTATTTCTCTCATATAATGAGAAAAAGAACAACTAATTTAACACAAATTACAGAAGTAATCATAGCAATTCTATCGTTTATGCTGATATTTTTCTGTCTATTCTTCTTAATAGAAAATTAAAGTGAAAAAAATTGTCTAGCCTAAATATGGTGTTTTTAATGATGTCAAGCCCATTTATAGATCTCATGAAGATACATAATTCTTTGCAATCTGCTGAATTACCGTAATAAATTTCATCAAAATATAAACTATTCAAATGATACTTTTAGAAATAACTTTATTATTAATTATTACATCCAAATTAAGTCAATAATCATATCTCTGTCATTGGTGAAATAATACCCATTATTATCTTCTTGTTTTAGTCAGTGCTTGAATATAGTTATCGTTGGTATACTTTTACTGAAACTATACAATCTTAAATTTAACAATAATGATATTGGTGCGATACAGCTTCTGAATGATTAGAAGACACTAAAAATGAAATTAAGACATTTTTTTTTTCATATGACTAAGCTACACATAACGTATCAATTAAGCTAAGATAACCTTCATGCAGTTTATATATATATAAATAATGTCTCGATTACCTTTTGTTGTTAAATATCAGACGTGCGTAATTAAAAAAAAGAACTAAATGTATACGTAATTAGAGTAATAAAAGTATGATGATGCGTATACATAGTATAAAATAAAAAAAAGAAACAGAAGGTTATAATAAGTTACAATAATTGAGAAACTTAGCTCAACAAAAAAGACTAAAATACAATCCTGCGTTTACTTTTAAAGTGAAAAACTAAGGATTTTCAATAATCATGTTTTGTCAATTGTAATATCAACATAATTATTGTTTTCTTTCTCGTAGAGAAGAGTGCAGTAAACATAAACTGTTTGTTTGTCCGCAGGGTCAAAAAAACATCGAAAACTGATTTTTCGAAAAAGACATTTCTAAAGGTATTTCCATGCGGGGACTTCGAAGCTGAGGTCTGTTGGGTGACCATAGTGAGGGGGGCGAGTGAGGTCAGAAAAACATCGAATATCGATTTTTCACGGTTTTCAATTGTTTTTCAGTAAATGTGAAGAGAATGCATTTCTACGAGAAAGAGCTAAGCGAGTCCTCGAACGAGCGTTACTTGTATTTATAAATTAGTATAGGAAGATTTTTTTGCAACAGAAAGTAGCCTAGTATTTCACTCATTATCACTCCACTTATATATCCCAGGACGATGGCTCCTGAAGCAAGATTCCATGAATCCGATGGAGAAGTGAGGTAACCGTATCCGGTCGCCGGTTTTAGCATGTTCCTGTCGGTTTCGGCTCAAACCAGATAAATCCGGTCACCAGATCCGTTCAACGGAAATACTGCTTTCATGAAATCTCTGGGATACTACGGAACCGGCCGTTTCCGTGCCGGATTGTTCGACCTGGGTATTGTATGCAATACAAACTATTTTCTCATGTTTATTTATTTATTTAGGTATTATCCAATGTTCGTATGTTGACGAGCAATTGTTTGCGTATTTCGAAATTAGATAATGATTTACCAATACGAGTATCATCAGCAATTAATGTAATCGGATTCGTCGGACGTTCACCTGAAGCGTTAGATCTGGTAATCGACCCGCACTTCTCATCGTATTTACCGTTGGTTACAATTGAATCGTTTAATGGTAAAAAGCCTGAGCAGTTACTGACAATGTATCAATTCATGAACTGCACTGGTACATTACGCCTCATGGATCACAGAATCCTTTATATTGATACACCGGCAACATATGGATTCAGTGGGGTCTTATGCTTTATTCCAAAATATAATGATGAATGGCAATTTATCGGACTATTAACTGGTGCTTCCAGATTATGAAACAAATGCATACTATTACAACAATCAACTATCTTTATTTCTTATTATAATGGTCTAATTGAACAAGAACTGAATTTTGACTAAACTCTTTTTTGAATTTGAATCATAATAAAAAGTTATTTAATAAATTTGAACACTTTCGTAAAAAAATATATTAAAGCCAAGATACTGATCTATCTTATTGAACAAATAAGCTATCTTTTTTTTGTCAAAACTTTACAACGATACGTTTATTAAACTTCCATCTCATATGCAATTTTGAGCTACCTATTATCAATGATTTGCATTTTCAATCAACCGAAGGCCATGAAAACTAATGTAGATATTTCTGATTTGATAAAATTATTTATGCTGTTGAAGAAGCTCATATTTGAATTAATTCATTTTAATAATCATTTCCTAAAAATAAAGTTCACCAGCGTATTCCAACTTATACCAAAACAAATCTACTTAGTCTCAAATAATTTGATATCTTAATTATTCATATTCATCTTTACAAATGAGAGGTGCGTGAATACGTGTATCCACATATATACTTCAAATAAATCAGCCCCTTCACCCACATTCGCATTGACCTTAAGCTCAAACTCACACCCACAGTCACACTCACCTGTTGTTTTATTAATTTTGTTTTTTTTTTGGTATTTTTCTTTCTTTCTTTCTGTGTAGGTTCCTTACTATTTAACTTCGGAGTAACATCATCAGATAGTGATGTATTCAATATCATATACAATCGTTTGATATTTTCATTTGTATTCAAATCTTTTGGATTCATTAACTAAAATAGTCAATTGAATATAAAACGAAATCTTAATCATATTTCCTTTTTTGTTTTACTTTAGATATAAACAATGAACGTGATTTAATATGTAATATAGACTTATATATTTCATTCCAATTTTGATTTTGTATAATATCTTCAATATATTTTAAACTTTCAATAATTTGTAATTGTTCCATATATTTCTTTAATATTGAATTAATTTCTATCAATTGATTATCTCGATTAGATAATAGTTCAAGAATATTTTTATATGATTTATCTAATGAATTACTAATAAAAGATTAAAAGTAACATTTTTTGTTAGAAAAAAGAATCTAACCGTTTAATATGAAGTTGTTTTAATATAGTAATTAATTCAACAGCCGATATATTAAATAAAGTCACAGGTTGATTATTAAGATGACCTTGCATAATAATTGGTTGTTTAAGATTGTCGTTTGATTGAGATAGAAACCCATTTGATGATAAGATTTGATCTTGGTTTGGAAATATATTTGTTTTATCTGATATATTCTTTAGGACGTAAGAATGAACTTGATGAGTTGTTGGTGCATTATTATTGTAGTTTAATAAAGATAATACATTTGGTTTATTAAATGAGAAATATGTTTGTTGATATTGTTCAAGATGTTGAACACGAGACAAATTTTCTATATGAAAAGTAAAAATAATATATAATTAATCTAATTGAACTTGCTTTGTTCTTGTAATAAACTTGATTCATCTGTACATGTTGAATTTGTCATTGTTGATAGTAGTTCAGAACAACAATCATCATTACCTGCATATGGTTCTTCTTGGTTATACTACTTTGTCAATAAATAAATAAAATAAAACTACCTGCCTATATATTCACTTTGATCTACTCGATGTGATTTACGTAAATTATTAATAATAGATAAAAGTTGAATTTGTTTTTGATTATTTTTCGTAACTTCTAATTGAATATTTGAAATTTCTGTTCTTAAACTTTTTATTGTATTCGATGTTATCAATTGATGTATTTGCATAAATTTTCAAATGATTATCATTTGATCAAAGAAATATATATGTACATAGTTAGAGTGCTAGCGCGAAAAATATGAAAAAAGAAAATTTTATTGAAAATATTTTACTAGAAACAGAAAAAAATATAATTTATCGAATACAAAAATAATGTGGAGGATATTTTGGTTCAGCACGTCGATTAGCTCGTCCAGATGTACGTGATAATGGTTGTGTTGGATAATTTTGTTGTGGAGCAAATTTTGGTATTCGAGCAATTATTGGTTGTGTCAATTTTTTTTCTTGTTCACTATCCAAAACAGTTGATTGTGTTTGAATTATTTCTGTTTGCTGTTCTTTTCCATCTTCATAAATAAAATCAGATTGTTTTAAAAATGCTGGTGGTTGAAGAATATGTAAAATTTTTGGTGTAACTCGTGGACGTTGACGATTTTGAAAACGAGAAACTGTTCGATGTAATGAAAATGGTTGTTGAAATGGAAGCGTTGGAGCTGTTCGATGTGCAAGACTGACGAAAGGCATTTTTATTAAAATGAAGTGATTGTAGGCAGACAGTTATCGTTATATAGTACTTACCTTGCTCTGTCTACTATATATGGTAGTTATATCTTCATCATATCGCCCGTGGAAAGAAAAGCTTGACAAGTTCAAAGGACATCATGCGTGACAATGTCATCAGCATATTACATACTACGAAAAAAAAATCAATGACACATATTTATTGATATTTATATATATGACATATCTTACACAAGATTATCAATAAATACAATGAGAAGAAAGAATGTTATATTTAACAGTGTATAATTGAAAAATGTTTTCATATAAATAATATGTTTATAAGAATATGTTTCAATTTAGTTCGATAAAATTGAAAAATCTATTAGTTGGATTTGTAAATTCTTCAATTCAATTAATGAAATCAATTTAATTTGATATAATCTTTATTAAGAGTATTTTCAATAGAGATTGATAAAAATTCTATAGATTCATTATCAATGAAATTAGATTGTATATCTATCTAATGTATACAAAGATATACATAATAAAAATAATACTAACAATACATAGCTTGTACCAAGGTAATATGGATTTAATAAACAAAGATGTTATGTAATCATGAAAATAACTTAAGTATAATACTTTAATAGAATAATGCAGAACACGTGAATGTGGGTGTTATATTGATAATTTCTATACTTGTAGATTATATCAATTTGAAGCTATTTGTTCATATTTAGAATAATTTTGATTATGTTTATAGATATATAGTGATATATTATCAATTACCTATGTTTCACATACGATATGTCAGGGTTACCCAATTATTCGTTTTTATCTAGTACATTCCTCTTTAGTTTTGATACGTTACAAACAAATTTCATTAGATTATATGTATATTGAAATATTCGTCTAATTAATTATTTTCGTACATGTTTATTTCAAATAAATAAAAGTGTATGTGATATTTTTTTTCTTCACATAATACTTATTCTAGTGAGAATATTTTCTTCTTTTTATATTAAAAGAAAGGAAGTGTGAATAAGACTTGAACATATAACAAAACATTCTTTCTCGTTTATATTAAGTAAATAAAATCAACCTTCGTTTTTTATTCGAATAAATATATCTCACACATATTTAATTTCTTAAGTAAATGATTATATAAAAACTATCATTGTCGAATATTTCCTTGATAACAAGTGATTAAAAACTAACAAATTATTGAAGAATTTTTTGTATTTCTAAGAGATATTTACTTATGATTAATACGTAAAGGGTGTTGAAGAAAAAGATGAACACGTAGTAAAAGAGATAACAATAATGATCGAATTGATATTACGACATAAGAAACGAAGAAGATGAAGGAAAAAAAACGTATGTCATCTTATGAAATTAAGTAACAATAAAAGAATAAATATCATGCAAAAGTTTGTTTATCTTACGCAATTTACTATTTAAATATCTATGACATTGTTTGAACTTATAGGTGAAAGAAAATATTTCATCGATATAGAAAAAAAAACGAACAAATATTCGATTATAGAAATAATTGATAAATGAAGAGCTCTTATATTTTGAGTATGTTTGCTCATATGAAAAATAATTCTGTATATTTATATCGTTACTATTTAGCTTTTATTCATACATATATTTGTTCCGATGTATATGTATGTTAGAGACGAGAGAGAAAAAAACAGGCGAAGACATTTACATGAAATAAGTTTGAATTATCGTTTTTTTGGCACAAACTGGAATTCATTTTGTAGTTTAATATATCGATGAGTTTCATATTGTGTTAAAATCGATAAATTCAATAATTAATATCATTCTTTTTATTTTTAATATTATATCATTAAAAATCTTACATAAACGTTTTTTTCTCATCTTTGTTTTAGCATCTTTTCTTATGAATTTAATATTAACTACGTGTATGTGTGTTTATCTGTTTATTACTCAACTAAGTGTAAAAAAGACTATGAATGTATTAATTGATGAGAAAGTCACGTTCGTTCTATTTTATTTTCACTAACAGGTGAAGAAAATAATTTAGTTCAACGATCACATACTCATCTATATTTTCATTTATACTTAGAACTGATGAGTAGATGTCTCGAGACATATATATGTCAAAAGGCAGTAGACCGTTTTGTTTAACCAGATTAGGCATTGTTCAAGTATTATTCTTCTATGACAAATATAGAAGCTTACATGTCTCTCTTACGAAAAGAACGAATTTGACTTTAAAGGATATACATCTATATGCAGAGTGGACTACTGAGCTCAGTTCAGCTGCTTACATTTCTCTATTGTTACATGTGTAAAAATTTGATCTTGTACAAATATCGTCGTTCAATCAATATAGAATATATATCTATATAGTTGCGTCAGCTTAAGAACCATACGATTCAATTATTGAGAATATACAATACAATCTTACAGAAATAACAAGATGATAATAACGATTATGCAGATTGAGACAACGAGAAAGGCATTTAATAAAAAAAAAAAGAGAACTATATTGAACAATAGGAGAGGAGGCGAAGGGATAAAGCATGCCATAGTCAGGATTTAGAGAAAACGAATTAGTAGACAGAGAAAAAAAAAAGTGTATACAAATATACAATTTATATTCAATTGATCATTTTTACAACTAACACAATTCTACTTAACAGATATAAAACAAGATACTTTCAAATCTAATAAGAAATAAATAAAATCTTGTTTTATTTTTTTTTTTGTGAAACAATGATTACTATTTATTATCAAATATGTCTTTTTCTAAGTAAGTTATCATTTCTTTTGTTTTATATATATATTCATTACGACATTGACACGTATTTATGTGTGGATACATATATTTGAGAAATGTCATTGAAATATCGATCCGTACTTAAACTATGATTGATCATGATCATTCTTTATTGGTCTTATTAGTAAATAACCTTGAAAGAAGAACTTGACATTCGAATATTTTTCTTCAATTAATAATAGAAATGATAATCTTTTCGACTGTAATTTCAACTACCCCATATAGAATCAATAATTATGTATGATAATGTGTATGAACAAGGTTATCTTTTCAAGTACATATTTTATGAGTGACTCTTTTTATATATTTGATTGAGGATTTTAGTCTTTATTTCCTTGTTAATTAATCGAGCAAATAAAACATTCTTGTCAACCTGTATATTCATGAGATACAAATGAAAGACAACTCAGACATTGAAATGATTGATACATAGGCCGCCTAGTTAGAACGTGTATGTAGAAATACTAGTAAGATTGAGCTCGTCAATATTTACATCACGAACTAAATGAGAAAATGCCTATTTGTGGTAATAGTAATGGACACAATCGAAAAAAAGAAGCGAAAGAAGACTAGAGAAATGTATCTGTATTGTGAACACGTTTTGAATGTTAGACGTTTGATCGATAAAAGTGAAGAAGAAGCAGAAACAACGGACATAAAATGTCGGATTAAGGCGGCAACGCCGTGCTACTGAGAAGAACGTGATGTAATTGGAGATCATCGGGTGCGTGAAAGCGAAAAAAAAAACGATGCAAAATCTAGGTGTTCGCGTATAATTGCTCGGTGACGCGTCACGTACAGAATGTATGCGACATAGAACACTTAGGAATGGTACGGGAAGGTCAGTAACGAAAGACTTAAGCAACAACGAGAAAAGAATCACCACGAACATGAAATTCTTCTTCTTACGTCTCTCCAATTAATTTCTCTTGTTTCGCTTTAATCCTTCTTCTCTCACTGTACTAAGAAGAACGTAGAGAGAAGAAGAGAAAGAGAGAGAGAGAGACAGGGAGAGAAAGAAAAGAGTTAACTAGTTGGTGGTGGTATTTGACAGTGAATTAAAAGAAGTGACTTTACCATTGGAATTTAGTCGACTAAGGAGTAGGCGGTAGAGATAAGATTGAGAGAGAAAGAAAGAGAGAGAGAGAGAGAAAGAGAAGAAGAAATAGAGAAGAGATAAAGAGAGCTGTGTGATAGTCAATAATTTGTCAACTTGCGAAGTGAGCGACAGCTGAGTTCACTTTCATTCACTCACTTTTTTGGTCTTCATAAAACATACATACATACGGACTATGATGAGGCAGCAGTTTCTTATAGGTAAGTAAATGAAAAGAATAATTCAATAAAATATTGAAAACAATATATGTATATATACGTATTCATGTATTTAATAATACAGGTCTGCTAAGTATTTTATCAGCAATAACAATTTATCTACCTGCGGAAGTAGCATCATTTACACGTTGTCCTGAACGTGGTACAACAGATTCTCCTACAATAAGTTATTATTCCGACGAAAAGTTTTGTAATGTATATCATAAATGCAATTGTTCTCTTACACAATGTCATGTTGTTGAATCTCATGTCTGTCCAATTGCAAAAGTTTATTCAAAAGAGAAAGCAACTTGTTTAGGTTTGTGATTTTTTTTTAATAAAAAATTCTTATTTTTCTTTTTCAAATTTAGATATCGA